AAGTCAATAGGTAAGTAATGGGCATTTGTGAACACTTGGCCGGAATTAATGTAAAATCCTTTTAGGTTTATGACAAATATATTGTTAGATCAGGTTCTGGAGAATTCCTTTTAGATATTGGTAGATCTATTTACCATATCTCTCTAAGGCAGTGAACTCTTTCTAGATATTGGGGATAAACTTAGTTATATTGCTCCTGTTCCCAAGGGGCAGAGATCCTAGTTGAAGTAGAAAATATATTTTTGAAAATGCTAATAGCAAAAAAGTGGTAAAGACTGTAAGAGCTCCACCCTTTCAGAAGGAAAGCTGAAGCAATTGGGAAGATTCGTGGAATAGATAAGATTTGAATCTAGCCTTGAAGAACTTGCTTGTTGGGATAATGAGAGGGAAGTATGGAGTGGGCAGCAAAATGAATACACTGTGGTGATGTAGTATGATGTGCTCACAGTCAGTGTCTTCAAAACCAGTTTGTATGATGCAGAGGCTATAAAATTAAGTTAGTCTTAGGTAGAAGTCACCTGGTGGTGGCCTGAAGTATTGAGGCTTTTTATTTTAGGCAAAGGAAATCAGAAAGCTTTTTGAGTTGGATAAAGTAGAAGTATTAGAAGTGGAAAATGGATGGGAGAGTGTTGAGATCACTTACTATTAAGGTAGTTTAGGCATAAGGTCATGAAGGTCTAGAGTAGGATAGTGGTTCTGAAAATGGAAAAGAGGCAGATTTAAGGACATGCTAAAGGAGAGTCAGCAAGACAGTATTTGGCAGATTGGGGGAAAAGGGAGGTGTCAGAGGGATCCACTGTGTACCTGTAAGATTAGGAGAATGGTACCATTGACTCTTGAAGATTTTTTTTTGGCAGGCTGTGGGGGAGGTTATGAATTTAATGTAATGGTTGGAAGAGATGGCCAACAAGAAGTTATAGGTGCAGTACCTAAGGTTAGGCTGGAGATGATGATGATTTGAAAATTACCTGAATAGAGTTGACGAGGTGAACTTGCAAATGTTCTCTTCTGTACTTTGCATTTCTGGAACAAGAGAGAATCTTGGGGATACCCATATTTGAGAAATGGGAGGAAGATTTGAAACTAAAAGGCAGATGAAGCGTGACCAGAAAAACAAGAATAACAGTGTAGTATAAGGAGAATTGTACATAGGTAGGGATATGGTCGACATTGTTGAATGCTACATAGAGGTCAAAAATAAGGACGGAGAAAAGGCCATTGGATTTGTGTGCTTCTGGAGACTTGGAGAGAGCAGTTTTAGTTGAGTGATAAATGGAAAGTTAGTCTAAGTTAGACTAAGATGGTGGTATGAAGTGTATTCAATATTGTAAGATTTCGTGGGGTGCCTGGGTGGCTCAGTTGTTAGGCGTCTGCCTTCGGCTCAGATCATGATCCCAGGGTCCTGGGATCGAGCCCCGCATCGGGCTCCCTGCTCAGTGGGAAGCCTGCTTCTCCCTCTCCCACTCCCCCTGCTTGTGTTCCCTCTCTCTGTCTCTCTGTCAAATAAATAAAATCTTAAAAAAAAAAAAAGATTTTGTGGTTAGGAGAAATATAATTCTTTTGATGGTAGCAGGGTTAGTGTTATTAGGACAAAGTTTTTTGATAGCAGGGACCTGGCAGGAGCCATTGAAGAGACAAGAAATAGGGAATAATCCGTAGAGCAAAGTTGCAGAGAGGAAATAGGGAGACTGAATCAAAGTACTGCTTTAACCATAAAGGAGAAAAAGTAACTTGTTATTTGAGACTGAGGACAAGATAAAGGAGGATAGGTGGGATATATAGAGATTTTTGAGAAGTTTAAATTAAGATGTTGGGGATAATGACATTTACCTTGCTCCCTGCCTCACTGAGATTATTTTAGGAGATGATCTGAGATGGAAGGATTCAAAGCATGGAATTTGTCTTCAGGAAAGCAGAAAAAGTTTAGAAAGGCCAGTAGAGAAAGTTTGGTAGGAAGTTAATAAAGGAAAATGAGGATTCCTAAGCACCTGTGCGGGTTCCACTGAAGGGATATGTTGGCAGATATTTGGGTTATCTGGCTATTTGGAAGTTAGAAGGTAAGCTCTTTGGAATGGAAGTTAACGGAATGCATGGCATATATGCTATAACTAGGGGTGTGTGTGTGGATCCTGTGTATTTCTTTCATAGATTAAAACAATATTACCAATCAAATTCTACCTTTCAGATATCCCGTTTAATATATTGCTGAATATTGGTACCAATATCTATTGGTTGTAATATTGTAGAAAGTTATTCAAGTATCAGAAGGGTGGTTAGGGTGAACCCTGGGATTTCCTTTTAATAGTTGGTAGGTTTACATGGTGTTCTTTCTTTATTTTTTTAAAAAAAGATTTTAAAGTAATCTCCACACCCAACATGGGCTCCAAACTCATAACACTGAGATCAAGAGTCACATGCTATACTGACTGAGCCAGCCAGGCACCCCTATGAATAGTCCCTTAGAAATCTTAATTATAAATAGTACTGCTGGGGCGCCTGGGTGGCTCAGTCGTTAAGCGTCTGCCTTCGGCTCAGGTCATGACCCCAGGGTCCTGGGATCGAGTCCCGCATCGAGCCCCGCATCGGGCTCCCAGCTCGGCAGGAAGCCTGCCTCTCCCTCTCCCACTCCCCCTGCTTGTGTTCCTGCTCTCTCTCTCTCTGTGTCAAATAAATAAATAAAAATCTTAAATAAATAAATAAATAAATAAATAGTACTGCTAAATTAAAAGAAGTTAACTCATCCCCCCCATCCCAACCCTTTTTTTATCCCCTTGTACTTAGAAGGCTTTTGAGGTCTTAAATGATCAGAAAGGTTCTTTGGATTTTGTAGACTAAATGTTCAGTGGAAATATTAATGTTTGACTTGAAAGTCATAAACAGACTTAACAGATGTAGCTAATACCTGATGCCGCATATAGATTTGGTACACAGTTTTCCAAGGATAGTGCCATAAAGAAAGGTGCTCAATAAATATTAGATTATTATCACTCTTGGATTTTAAATTGTAAGTGCTCTCAGGCAGTTGCTTAGCCCTGTGTAGTACTTAGCATTGTGCCCTTAACTAATAGAGACCCTTTTCCTGATTTTTATAATTGGCTCATAGCATGAAGGGGTCAATATAAGACACTGTGAGTACTGATAAATCATTGTGATGAATGAAGCCTTGAAATTAGTTAAAAGTGAATCTGTGAGGGAAATTTATTAATTTGCCAATAGCAGTATTAGATATACAGAATAAGCAGACAGGGCTCTTAGTCACTTTTTTAAAAAGCTATCTACCTGTTTGTTTTTGACTAAGACAGATGGATTTAAGCTTAAGTAGTAGAGAAATTAATGTTTTACTTGTAGATGACAACCACTTGGCAGCCATAATCCATAAACTGGTTGAACATCACTTTTTTTCTTTATACTTTTTTGAGCACCTTAATTTTTTTGAAATTAATTTCTTAAAAAAGAGATAGTGATTACTTTTAAATGGTACTTGGTATTGCCTTTGGATGACAGAGTTTTAGACTTTAGTTTAGTAATCGTGAGAGAAGATTATGTACATTATTGCATAACTCTGGCATTATTTTTCCTTCCCTCATTTGTATTCTTCATCGCAGCCTTTAGATCTGTGCTATTCAATATGACCGCTTGTCTATTTAAATTTAAATGAATTAAGGTTAAATAAAATTAAAGATTTAATTTCTTAGTCACACTAGCCACATTTTAAGTGCTCCCCAGCATGTGGCCAGTGGATACTGTATTGCCCAGTGGAGAGTGTTCTGTCATCCGAGAAAGTTCTTTTGGATAGTTGTACTCTAGATCTTTAATTACTAATGATGTCAGGAACTTGGAATAGATACTTAAAAACTCCCCAAACCATAGAATTTATACAAGTTCAATCCTAACAGCTTCAGCCTTCTCAAAGTTTAATATTACTTCTTTAGGATAGGCTTTATATTTAGTTTTGTTATTAGGTCTTATTTAGAGGTCATTATGATAATAATGTAAAACAATAAAATAGTTGTGTCAAGAACTATCCGCCAGATTGTTTATTTAACAGGTTTATTAAGATATAATTGAGAATACAATAAAATGTGCATATTGAAAGTGTATTTAATAAGTTTGGATATATATACCTCTCACGAACCATCCTCATAGACATAATATACCTATTACCCACAAGTTTCCTCATGCCTCTTTATAATCTCTTTCTGTATAATCCCTGTTCTTTTTCACCCTCTTTGTCCACCTCCAGACAACCACTGATCTGCTTGCTGTCACAATAGAGTAATTTGAATTTTCTAAAATTTTATATAAATGGAGTCATTCAATCTGTACTTTTTTTTTGATCTGACTTCTTTCACTCTGCATTATTTTGAGATTCACATGTTATATCAGAGTCCATGTTACATGTACAAATAGTTCATTACTTTGTATTGTATGGGTGTATCACAGTTTGTTCATCCACTAGTTTGTTGATGACGTTTGTGTTGATTCCAGTTTGGCCTTATTTCATATGAGCTGCTATCAACATTTATGTATAGGTCTTTGTATTGACATATGCTTTTATTTCTCTTGAGTAAATACCTAGGCATGGAATGGCTGGATCATATGCTAGGATGTATGTTTAACCTTTTAAGAAACTGTCAAACTGTTTTCCAAAGTGGCTGCACCATTTACATGCCCCCCCGAGTAGAGTGTGAGTGTTCCACTGGCTCCATATCCTTGTGAATTCTTGATATGGCCAAACTTTTTAATATTATGTGACAGACTGTTTTAATAAGAAAAGATTGTCCTAGTAGAATTATTTCTTTGCTCTTGCAACTTTTTGTATTTAAATGCTGCAAAAATAGTATTTTGTTTGTGAAGACTTTAAGACAGTCTTCTGTAGAAGATATATTTACTCTTATTTTTGATAGTATTTGTTCACTAATGCTGATTTGAAACTCAGTTTATAGGAACCATTACATTTCCTTTCTTTTTACTTACATATTTTTCTTTTTTTGTTCTAGCGGCCCCTTTGTTGCTTTATGCAAACAGACGGGACTTGCGATTGGTTGATGCTACAAATGGCAAAGAGAATGCTACGATTGTAGTTGGAGGCTTGGAGGATGCAGCTGCGGTGGACTTTGTGTTTGGTCATGGCTTGATATACTGGAGTGATGTCAGCGAAGAAGCCATTAAACGAACAGAGTTTAACAAAACTGAGAGTGTACAGAATGTTGTTGTCTCTGGATTATTGTCCCCTGATGGGCTGGCATGTGATTGGCTTGGAGAAAAATTATACTGGACAGATTCTGAAACAAATCGGATTGAAGTTTCTAATTTAGATGGATCTTTACGAAAAGTTTTATTTTGGCAAGAGTTGGATCAACCCAGAGCTATTGCCTTAGATCCTTCAAGTGGGTAAGTTTTGTGCAATGTACAAAGCCTATTGCATCTGTTTCCTGGTTTCTGTCCGCTAGCATAGACAACCCTCCCTAACCCCAAGAGATAAGAAAGATCAAAAACCAAATTTTAGATTCTTTGAGCTTCTTTGTCAAGTAGACTTGAACGTGGGAAATTATGTTGTGGTCTTAAAGTAAGATGTTTCTGTAAATATTGTAATACTGTGTTTCTAACATCACTTATGGGATAGCCATACATAGAGTTCTTGGTCTGTTTTCTGCATTTAATAATTACGAGAGGCTAATTAGAAGGCAGAGAAGGGATGAAGACCTAACAAGTACTTGATAGCTCAAGACAACATAAAAAATCTCACTGATCTTACAACTTTTAGTGTATATGCAATCATTTTGTTATACTAGTGTCTTTTTATTAAACTCTGAAGTGTTATTTAATATGTCAGTATTGAATGAAAAATAAAAAGTTGTTAAAGAACTCATTTCTAGTTAGTTAAGCATATATTTGCTGTAAAGGTTTATTTTCTAATGAGAAGGGAAGTTTAAAGCTATGGGTAAATCCCATTAGAAAATGTGAACTGTGTCCTCACATGCTTGTTACTGTGCTTCGCTTCTGCCACATACCATTCCTTGATACTTGTTTATTGAATATGTTGTTATGCCAGAGCCTGTCATGGTAGATAATTAAACATTAACCTGAAATGAGTTACTCATAATTGTTTAAAATGTAAAGATAAGTAACCTGCAAATAACCATTTTAACACTTTGTTTTCTTTGACTTTCAAGTATGTTGGAATGCTTTAAAACACATAGAAGGGAGTGGATTAATAGTATGTAATAGAACGTGGGGGAAAATGAAAGAAAGGTTTATGTGTTCCTTTGTCTTGATACCAGGCCTTATTTGGTGACAAAGTTTAAAGAAGATGCCATGTTGTAGGAAAATTAAAAGATTTGTCTGTCCATGAAAGATAATGTGGGCAACAGTGTAGTGAAACTTTAGGGTGAGAAGTTCTGGAACACACATATATATAATTTATATAATATATAAAAAATTCTATTTTTAGAGGGGCGTTAAGAAGTATCTGCTAAAGTCAGATGGTCTCTTAATAAAGCATCAGAAAATAATAGTGGCTCTCGTGGTAGGAAAAAGGATTGACTGTCCCAAGGAGGAGGTCAGAGATGTTGCATATGCAGTAAACCATACTGATGAAAAATTTGGTTGTTGAGAACTTGCAAGATATTTTTGAGAAATGGAATCTGTGTTTTGCCAACAAAGTTTGTGAGTCGCAGAGAGTATTGAAATGTTTGTGAGGTTACTGCTTTATAGAACACGGGGTTTTGGTGCTTTCAGTGGTCATTAGGGAATAGTACTTTGGAGAAAAGAGAAAATTTTTTTTTTAAGATTTTATTTATTTATTTGACAGAGAGAGAGAGAGATCACAAGTAGGCAGACAGGCAAGCAGAGGGAGATGGAGAAGCAGGCTCCCCCCTGAGCGTGGGGCTCGATCCCAGGACGCCGGGATCATGACCCGAGCCGAAGGCAAACGCTTAACCGACTGAGCCACCCAGGCGCCCCAAGAGAAATATTTCTTAGAAAAATTGTTTTTGACAAATTTAATCTTATAACTGTAAGGGCGATGATGGCAATTTAGCCAACTGTCTTTTAAATAGTATGTTCAGAGCTCTGTTTTTTGTACTCTTGTTGGGCAGAGAGGGGGACTATCTTTAAGGATTTACAGTCTAAGGACAATAAACTTGGACGAGAGAACTTTTCCTTCTTCAAAAGCATGTTTATTTGTATTATATAGTATGTATGTGGAGAGAGGAAGAGTGTTAAAGGGAATTGGAAGAGCCACAAGAGCTCCTAAGGAGGATGGGTGGATAAAATTGCTTGATTACCACAATTCCAGAGCAGCATCTAAATCATTTCTACAAGTGATAATGATTTTATGATAGTACATATTCAAGGGAGCTGAATTTATAGGTAATTCTTGACTGTTCAGGATCTAATCATCTAATGATTAAATGAATCATTCTCATTTTGTGCCCTAAACTAATGAGCTTTACTTCTGGGTGTCAGGTCTGATAAGTGTCTTAGGAAATAAGTTTACCATATTATTAAAAAATACATTAAGTTTCTGTGGCTTTAGTTTACCCATGAAACTTCCCAGTATTGAAGGTGAGAAACTGCCAGAGACTCAGCTGATCAAGAATATTACTGGAAGAATCAATAAAAGTGTGCATTAGAGTTTCTGTGGCTTTAGTTTACCCATGAAACTTCCTAGTATTGAAGGTGAGAAACTGCCTGTCAGAGACTCAGCTGATCAAGAGTATTACTGGAAGAATCAATAAAAGTGTGCTTTGAAGGTAGAAAGTAGTATTATTTAAGCTTCTAAGGGATGATCAGTGAACACTATTTTTCCTGAGGCCTTAAGTTTTGGTCAAACAGTGAAATACTTTTTTCATTATTTTTGATGGTTGTGGTTCGTGTTGCTTATGTGTATGAATGTGTGTAAATTTCCCCTCTCCCCCCTCTTCTTAAAATCTTTTTTAATTTTTGGAAAGTTATGTGTCATATGGCTATTTTTAAAATTTCACAACTGAAAATAAATAGAATGTAGCCAAATGGTGTACATTTTGGTATTTTGCATGATAGAGTGTAAAATTATATTTCAAACTCATGCATTTAAAAATATATTCTATCAGTCTTTGGTATTGATCTTAGATTTATGTGGTTTTACTGGAAAAGTAATTTTAGATGGAGTATATCACTTATCAAACAGAAGAGATGATTTCCAGATTTATTTTTGCGGGGAGAAATGAAGTTTACTTTCCAGAGAAAGTACATGAAAACAGTGCTGAAGAAAAATGTAGGCTTTATCAGAGTTCCAGTATCCTGGGTTATAAGGTTCAGAAGAGCTGACTGAACTCTCTCACATCAGGTTATGTAAAAGGAAAGCTATTGAATGACTGGTATTGTTTGAGCCCTGGGAACTAGTGCAGACATCTGTGTGCTTTCGCATGTATGGAGTTCTTTGTGTAATCAGTCCATTTAGACTGAAGGAAGATTTTTATTTCCCTACCTAAATTTGGCCTCTGTTAGTCTGAGATTTTTTTTTTCTTTTGAGTGATGGCAGTGTAGAATTCAGAATAAGGAACAGGAAAACGTGTGTACAGAAATTGTTCCAGGAGTGAACAACAATAGTTACAGGAAGCAGTCCCCTTATGGTGAGAGGTAATTCCTGACTGTTCGGCTGCTCTGCCTGTGGAGTTTCTTAGTCTGTTCCACAATGACTGTACTACTCTTAGTGATGTTGAGGGCCAGCTGTTTCAGGTACAAATAAAGTAGTTTTAAGGGTTTTTTGTTTGTTAAGGATCTGTTCCTATTCCAAATTATTTTGGATATTTTTTTAAAAAGTTAAACTTTAGTGATTCAGTCTGAAGTGAATTCATACGGAACAGCTTTGAAAGATACTTATTTTTAAAATACATTTTTATCATCTTTAAGAATAATATTTATAACACTAAAGTTCTGCTTTAAAAATGCTTGCAGAACTAACTCAATGGAAAAAATAATGTATAATTTCCCTAACAGTTATATACATATAATTGTCATATCTTGAGTATGTTTAGAAGTATTTTCTACACTGGTGTGTTCCAGATGACTAAAATCATTCCTACCACATAACGGTGTTCAATAAATATTTTTTGAGTGACTGGACCTTATACTTTCTTTCATAATCCTGTTAGTTTTCCCTGTTAGAGGAGAAAGTGTTTTCTTTTTTTTTTTTTTTAATAATTTTTTATTGTTATGTTAACCACCATACATTACATCATTAGTTTTTGATGCAGTGTTCCATGATTCATTGTTTGTGCATAACACCCAGTGCTCCACGCAGAATGTGCCCTCTTTAATACCCATCACCAGGCTAACCCATCCCCCCACCCCCCTCCCCTCTAGAACCCTCAGTTTGTTTTTCAGAGTCCATCGTCTCTAATGGTTTGTCTCCCCCTCCGACTTACTCCCCTTCATTCTTCCCCTCCTGCTATCTTCTTCTTCTTCTTTTTTCTTAATATATATTGCATTATTTGTTTCAGAAGTACAGATCCGTGATTCATCAGTCTTGTACAATTCACAGTGCTCACCATAGCACATACCCTCCCCGATGTCTATCACCCAGCCACCCAATCCCTCCCACCCCCCACCACTCCAGCAACCCTCAGTTTGTTTCCTGAGATTAAGAATTCCTCATATCAGTGAGGTCATATGATACATGTCTTTCTCTGACTGACTTATTTGAGGAGAAAGTGTTTTCTAAGCAAATACAAATTTTAGCATTATCTCATGAATTCTACCCCAGTATGATTTTGATTACAGTTGTTTATTTAAAACATATTTAAGATTTTTAGTTTTTTCAACTCAAGTTATCAGGATAATAGAGCTTGTTTTTGTCACATCTAGCTCTCTTATTTACCAGCAAGTCACTTCATTCTTTTGAACTTCAGTTTTCTCATCTCTAAAATGAGGATTCCTTTTAGTTTTGAAATTAAGTTTAAAAAGTGAGGTGTTTAAATAAGTATATTGATTTTTAAATTTGTGTTTTACAGTTACACATTATGGACATTATACAAGTCCCTAATTTAGGTATGCTACACTTAGAATGTGTTTCTGCGGAACAGATTCTTAAAATTTTGTTTCTACTGCCCTTATTGTATAGGTCATCATACTCAACCTCTTTTTTTATGGCTATTTGACCCCTAAAACCAGTTTGCTGATTTCCACTGGATGTAAATTAGAAAATACTTTTAAAATGTCAGAAGATTCTTTTTGTTTGAAGAATGAAAACTGTAGCCAGTTACTTTCAGGCAGATCATATAGATTCAATATAGTTTGGAGGTGGGGTTTTTGAGATTATCCCAAATTTAAGAGCAATGTGTTAGAAAAGCCACTAATCCAGGAAGTCTGGATTAGTGGCTTGGCTTTACCAGCCCCTCTGGGATATG